GCCTACGTTTTATGCCTATTTCAGAGTAGTGGTGGTGGGAGGGTATGTGCAGTATGTTATCAGAAGTGAGGGTGGGGTGTGTTGGGGAAATAGGAGCAATTACTAGTTCAGGGAAAGGGAATTTGATTATTTAAGGTAATCCTATAGTGATTCCCTTATCTTTTGCATTGCTTAAAGCCAGCCTTCTGTTTTACATTTGTGGCTTTCTAATTTTTCAGAAATATTAAAAAACAACAACCCTATCTCTTACTTTATATACCTCCTTTCTATTTATACTCTAGATGAATTATCTGTCACGTATCATCTTAGGGGGAAGCGAGGGACTTATACTTGGCCAGTTGGACAAGTTCTATTCCAGAATATGAACTGCAAAGTAAGTGATAGAAGAATATGTGGCAGCATTTGATGGACCAGACACTTCTTATGGTTTGTCCTTGCTGGTGATTCTCATCAATTATTTTAGCCTGGTTCCGATTCTCTAGTTTCCTGTTGATTCAATGAGTCTCCTGTCTTTCTAGGAAAGTCTCTTTTTGCTAATAATGACCAGAGTCCATTTCCAATGCTCACAAGCAAGAACCTTAACTTTCATTGGGTTTATATAAGAACTGCTTTGCTCAGGAAACTTGTTCTAGAATCTTTGACAAATAGAGAAATCACAAACACAACTTTTCTTGCTTTCCCGATCTATGGCTTTCCCTTGATAATGGAGGCTGACATCAAATGAAGCCCAGAAGTTACACTAAAACTTTTGTACCTAATATGGTATTACTAGTCACATATAGCTATTTAAATCCAATTTTAAGTTAATTAAAATTATGGACAACTGGGTGGCTCATTCGGTTAAGTGTCTGACTCTTGATTTTGGCTCAGGTCAGTTCAGGAGTTTAAGCTCTGCGTTGGGTTGCGCCAACAATGTAGAGCCTGCCTGGGATTGTCTGTCTTCCTCCCTCCCTCTACTCCTCTCTCACTCGCTCAGTCTCTCTAAAATAAATAAACATATAAAAAATAAAATTTAAAAAATTAAAAATTTAGTTCTTTAGATGCACTATTTGAAATACGCAGTAGCCACATGTAGCTAGTGGCTATCATTGGATGATACAAATTATAGAACATTTCCATCATTAAAAAACTTAATCAGTGCTATTGAACTGTAAATACCTTAGGGATAGGGAGTCTGTCTTTGTTATTCTCTGGTGTATCTACAACTTTTAGGACTAGGCTTAGCATTTGTAGGTGCTCAGTAAATATTTGTTGAATGTTGAAATGACATACATGAGCTGCCTGCCACAGAAAGTCTAGGCAATAATCATCATAATTAGCTACCTGTTCTTTGAAGAAAATTTGGAATGACTCCATCTCACTGTTATTCCTATTGTTTCTATTTAAACTTCTCTACAGCTCCATTCTCTGTTGTACCTTGGCCCTGTGGTCTGTCTACAATTTCTGCTTCCAAGATCTCATAGTTTCTCATTCAACACCTTATTCATCCTTCATTTTTTGATACATTCTCATGGCCAATCCATTAAATCTCTCCTTTCAGCAATTTTTGCTGTAGCCTCTGAAATATATTCTATTCTATATATACATACATACGCACACACACACAAACACACACTACATTTTTTTTTTCAGTCTCCACATTTTAAAAACATATGCCCTCACTAAGACCTGGCTTTGTCCTGGCAAACCTTTTAAGTGGGATTATTCTTCCTTCGTCTGCCCTTCAACTAGGGACTAAGAAGGGAAAGCCATATTTGTGAACCCCACTTTTGCTTCCAGACAGTTGTCTGATTAACCGGGTTAAAATGGTTTTGCTTTTGGTATTCATTGCATCCATCTTATCCCTATTTATTTCTCTGTCAGTGAAAGGTGTTCCTGTTTAGCTCAATTTGTTTCTATTTTCTATCCTTCATCATTGTTCTTTGTGACTACATCATTCATGTTGTTGACCCACCTTAGCCTTATAGTTTAGCTTAACTCTTATATTCTTTATCTTTATTCAACTTTAGCTGCCCCTACACTTAGCCATTTTTTGGACCTTGTCATCCCTTAGAACTGATCATTTCAAATACATATTTTTTTCCTCTTATCCACTTCAATCTCACTGAAGACATAAAAATTTGATACTCAGATTGATGGCAAATTTAGTTCTTGTACTTTTTATTTCTTCCAGTCTGTTAATCTGGCTCCCTTGTTTCCCATTCAGCTTGAAATACATTTGTCCATTGTTCACCTGTGCTCTCACTTGTACCTGAGCAAAAGCTAGATGTAGATTCTTTAAACTTCTCACTATCTGAGAATTTCTGTATCCTCATCTGTTCTCTCCTCCCTTTCTATTTTAATGAAGGTATTCATTCTCCCTCTACTTCTCAAGTGTTCTGATTCCCACCTCTTTTGTTTCCTCTAGAGTCTTGCTTCATTGATTATCTTCTTCATCTATGTCTTTAATTTCTTTACCTCAGAATCTTATTTTGCCTTCAAGGTCCAGCTCAGACTGCATTTCTCTTATGTAGCCTTCATTGATATCCTACTGAAAGTTAGTTAATAGCACTTTCTTCTGTACTTTTTAGTTCTGCTTTAAGACTTGCTTTCTTTTGATTTATTGTGACCTACCTTAAATATTCAAAACCTTTTCATCAAAAGAAATACTATACTTTATTCCTAAGTCTGCAGCATTTTGAAATAATTTGCATTGAACGCTTTCGTTACTGAGATTAAGACCATTGAATTTATTTTGATGCCCTAATCATCTCTATTAATTTTTATTTATGTTAAATTCCATTATCCCTTACAATCCTAACTGTAATTATCTTAAATTGTGGACTAATTTTCTTCTTAAAAAAATGTCATATCAGTTGTAGATTCTAACCCTGTACAGCTCTAGTAAAGTGAACTGAAGAAAACTTTGTCACTTCTTACAGTCTACCATAATGGTGTTCTTACTTTTCATGTTTAAAAGATAGTCAAATACTCTTTACCATATTTTCTTTGGCTTCATTTTTTTTTTGTAGGGCATTGTTTCCTTTCATATCCATGTAACTTATTTAGAAAGCATTCAGACCACATTGCTTTCTTAACCGGATCTTGTTTCTTACTGACTTACCAAGTATATTCAAAATCTTGACCAGAGCTAAGATTTACTTGGGACCTAACTTTTTAACTCTGGACCTGAGCTAGGACCCACAGTGTTTACTCAACTCTGTTTCTGTCTTCATGATTTTTAGAAAGAAACCTCTATGAACTCTGTGACCTAGAAGCACCAAGTTAATGACATCCATAAACATTTAAGGGTGAAATGCAGAGAAGGTTTGAGAGAGTAAAAATGTAGCTGGAATTATGAAACAAGAGTATGACTGGTACTGTTAAAGGAGCAGAGTAAGAGCAAGACTCCCCTTTAGATCTGTTGTTTGTGGCTTTTGTATGTAAATATCTCAGGAAGCATTGGGTCTACGGTTTCTTCCATGTCATATTGTGCAGTCACCTTACACATTTAAATGTCTAATCCGGGGTTTGGATTGGTTCATTAAGTCCATCAACAAACATTTGTTGAATTCTTATTAACGTTTAAAGCACAGCCCTAGGCTCTTGAGAATGTTGTCTTTCCAATAAGCAGTTCTACCTGAGTTGATAAGATATGCTAATAATGCCAAACTGTAAATAATAAGTGACAAATGAATTATATTTGAGGTGTTTGCGGGATTTAAAAAAGGGAGCCATTGAGGGCATATCCTATCACACATTGGCATATCCTATTAGCATAAAGTCTGTCTCATGAGGTTAGTCATTTGGTTACCAGAAATGCTCCACATTTTAAGGTTCTGGTTAAAAATATATCATTCCTTTTGAAAGGACACACATTGTTTAAGCATTCATCTTTTTTTTTTTTTTTTTTTTTTTATAATCTAAAGGATTTTTTTTTTTTTTGCAGTAGAGCCACTTTTATTTATTTATTTATTTATTTTTACAAATAGTTTATTGTCAAATTAGTTTCTACATAACACTCAGTGCTCATCCCCAAAGTGTCCTCCTCCATGCCCATCCCCCCCTCCCCCCCACATCCATCAGTCCTCAGTTTTTGTCAGCATTCAAGAGTCTCTCATGGTTTGCCTCTCTCCCTTTCCCCCACCATTTCCGCCCTTCTTCTCCCCCTTGTTCTGCCAGCTGGTCCTGGAGGGGGCTGAGCAAACGTAAGCATTCATCTTAAGGATGAAAGCTCATAATGTATTTTATAGAATACACTATGGTGTCCTGTACAAGATAGTTTTCTTTTAAAATTTGAACTTAAAATCAATAAAATTGCAAGATAATGAAGTAGGATAACACTTACTTGGGTTAAAGGACTGGGTTCTATCTTCATTTGGCTACTTGGTAGCTATGTGATTTGGTCCTGAGCTTCAATCTCTTTATCTCTAAAAGTGAAATAATAAGATGAATTTGTTTACTTTCATGGAATTATTGTGAGAAATTACTACAGTTAAAAACAGGGAGACCTAATAGGCATTAGAGATACATTTAGGAGCTCCAGGTCTGGTAGAGTGAAAGTGAAGTGGCAGTGTGGGTGAAAGCATTGTGTAAGCTGTGTGGTCATAGACACGGCTTTGCCTGCACTAGACCACTTTCTGATGCCTTAGTGACACATTATGCACTCTTCCACCAAAGGCTATTTGTTCAGTTTGTTGCCTTTGTTTATCAAAATCCTACTTATCAGATTTACATCTCCATGTATGTAGGCTGTCGTCTTCCTAGACCTACTTGATTTCTCATCTTCTCTGTGCCAGTAGTTTGTAGATTTTTCCATAGCAAAAGCAGAAATTTGTTATATCTTAGTTATATGTGAACACACTTAGCTGCCTGAAGTCAAAATCTTTATTGTTTTATCTGCAACTTAACAAGTACAATGCCTGGTGTCAATAAGGGTACTCTAAAATGATTGTCTAATTCATTGAAATATTTGGACTATGATTTCTTGATAATGTATTTTGTTGGATTGTGATTTTTAGATTAAAACTTCAACAACAAATTGTGAATATTGAAAATGCAGAGAAAGAAAAACATGAAAATGCTGAGCTGAAACAGGTACGATTTTAGCAAACATTTTGCTTTTATTTTTTCAAGTGCTTCTTTAAATCTGTATTTTGAATGTGTATATGTGTAAGTTTTGATTTTTTTTTATTGAAGTATAATTAACATAATGTTCAGTTAGTTTCAGGTGTACAGTGTGATCATTCAACAGTTCTGTACATTACTCAGTGCTCATCACGAGAAGTATACTCTTAATCCTCTTTATTTGTTTCACCCATCTCCCCTCTGGCAACTACCAATTTGTTTTCTGTATTTAAGAGTCTGGTTTTCTCTGTTTTTCTTTATTTTATTTCTTAAATTCCACATATGAGTGAAATCATATGGTATTTGTCTTTCTCTGACTTATTTCACTTAGCCTTATATCCTCCAGATCCATCCATGTTGTTGCAAATGGCAAGATTTTATTCTTTTTTATGGTTGAGTAATAGGCCATCATGTGTATATACCACATCTTCTTTATCCATTCATCTGTGGATGGACACTTGAGTTACTCATGTGTGTGTTTTGAATCTTTTGGAATTTTCTATATCAGTATTCTGAAAATACAACCATTACATTGATATGTACTGGTGAGGTTGACAGACAAAGATAAAATTGTTTAAACCTCTTTAAGCTCTAGTTAGTAAGCTGCTTTTTCTAACTGCTGTTTTTCTTGAGGCCTTTATATGCTGTCACCCATAATGAATTTTTTAAAATTGTAGTTTAAGGAATAGTATCTTATTCTGAATTTAAAAATTGATTAGAAAGATCATCTAGATTTTAAATTCCTTGTGGGATTGACTTGTAACTTTTTATTGCTTATTCTGTGAACTATTTCTTATTATATCCTTGTGAAATGTGAAATCTAAGAGTTGTATTTATGGAAGGAAATTTATATTTTAATTGAAGTTATTTGGGTTTAAAGAAAACTTATATGGGCAAAACATGGAAGAGTGTTCTTTGCTGGGTTCTATTTTCTTTTTTGTTTAAGTTATGAAGTAAAGAAGATTCCATTTTTAGGATTTATCCTTGCAAGCTAGCTGGCATTGCTTTGCATATGCAGTTGTGGTTTGTAAGTCTCAACTAGGCAGACATAATATTTGATACTCAGAGAGAAGTGATCTAGTATCATTGGCATTGGGCTTTCTGTCATTTATTAGATATGGAGAAGTATTAAGCTTCAATTTTTATAACTCCAATTAAAAATAAAGACTGAGTAGTTCTTCCTGGAGGAATTTATTCTAAAGTAGAACTCTGAGACATATCATTTTACTTTATTCTGAAAATAACTCTTTGGTCATATACAGTCTTCTCTTATTTGGCTTTGCAACCACCAGAAAGTACTGGACTTGTTTAATTTATTGCATAAAGAATCTGGTTTCTTTTGACTCTTTCTCTTGATTCTGTGCATCCAGCTTCTCTGAGGGAATGGCTAAAAAGGTAAGAAAAGGTGAAAGAAAATGAAGATTTGTTAATTAATTGGCAAAATGAGGACGCCTGGATGGCTCAGTCAGTTAAGTGACTGACTCTTGATTTAGGCTCAGGTCATGATCCTAGGGTCATGAGATTGAGCCCCGAGTCAGGCTCTGTGTTGAGCATAGAGCCTGCTTGGGATATTCTTATTCTCATTCTCTCTCTGACTCTCTCTGTTTCTCTCTCTCTCTCTCTCTCTCTCTCTCTCTCTATCTATCTCTCTATCTCTCTATCTCTATCTCCCTCCCTCCCCCCCCCTCTCTCTCTGTCTCTCTCTCTCCCCCCACTTGTTGGAGCATTTGGCTTGTGGAGGAAGTAGGTATAACTGTGTCCCAAGTGAAGATTATTTGGATATAACTTAAAAGCATTGTTTATCTTCCTAGCCTGTTAATTTTTAACTAGATAATTAGTTACTTTTCATGAGAAAAAGTACCCCCAGATAAAAGTGAATTAGGATGGAGAAAAAGCCTGAGTGACATTTCATGTCACTATGGCTCTAGAGGCCAAGGAAGCCTTGGCCATTCATTAGGTTTCTTAGAATCTCTCTCTTCCACCCAACACTGGGTGTATGGAGTGCTGAGAAACCACTTAAAAGCAATGAAAGAGCAACGCTTTCTGCATTTATGATTCCAAACTGTTTAGAAAGCAGAACTCCTGGAACAGTTGCTGATCATAGGGTACATGGGGGAGTGGGAGAACAGACTCCCTTAGCAGCTTTCCCAGCTGATGTGCTCTTAAAACCTGTTCTTTCCTAGGAGGCTCTAGGAAGTTCAGTGGAGACTTCCTCATTGTTGTATTCCCCTTTCTCACTTCCCTTCTCTCTCCTTACAACCCCTCTCCCTACTCCCAGTACCTCATCTGGTCTGCTTATTTTGGGAGGAAGTGGAGGAGACTTAGTGGATTGAGAAATACGGTTCGTGATAGTCTCTGCTTATATTAGGAAATGATACTATGCTCTTGGGTCCTAATGCTGCTACGGTTTATCATTTAATTTCCGTGTGTCCTCAAGGACAGTTGGGTGGGGGATTTGTGAAGAAAGATGTTTACAATTCTGTGCCTCTCCCATACGTTATTGCATATGTGGCTTTATGTTTCTCTTTCTTCTCTTTTAAGCAAATCAGTAGTTTGCAGAATCAGGTGACCTCACTTGGACAGTCAGAGAATGAGTTGCTGAATTCAAACCAAATACTGAGGGAGACGGTGGAGAGGTTAAAACAGGAATGCCGAAATTTAAGAAGCCAAGCTGAAAAAGCACAACTAGAAGTTGAAAGGTAGAGTTTGCTCTTTTTTATGTACAAAATATTTCTTCTTTCTGCTAATATTATCTGTAGTTCTTTTAATGATGATTCCAATGTTGAATGTGCTTTGGGAACTAGTTACAAATACCCTTTGACAGTATACAATGGTATTAGGTAATGTACTTTCTATTTCTAGAGAATGACCTTTATGGATTCTTGAATTGTTTTAAAAAAGGGGCATTTAGGGCAGAAGTTTGTTTTCTGGTTTTTTTTTTTTTTTTTTTTTTTTTTTTACAAATTCTGCCTGACCACCCTCAAAGAAACCCTTCTTTATTCATTGAGTAAACCAAAACACTAATACATTTTTTACTCCAAATACCTAAAGTATTCTTCTGAATGCCAGAGAATAGAAAAAAATGTTGTTATGTATAAAACGTAACTTCCTAGAATTAGAGCTATAATCTCTTGGATTTTCCCTTTGAAAAGCTCATTTATTTGTTTATATTTTTTGGTCTTGAAATGTATTAGTAGTAGACAGTGTATATAGTAAACTGATAGGGAGATGATTTTAGTGATGTTCCAGATCTTACATTCTATGGAAAATTTTGTTTAGATATGATAGAAAACTGCTATGTTGTATTTGCTTTGTCTTTATAACATGTTAGTATTTTATTTTTGTTTGAATCTACAAAACATAATTCTTTTCAGATTTTCTCTTCTGAAGATTACTTTGCCAAACACAATTTTTTTTTCCTTCAGTTTCTCATTATTTCATATTTTAAGACTGTCTCTGGTTTCACACATGCAGCTGAATTTCAAGAAAAGAAAGTAAGCAAGTTATTTGGCCATAATGTGTTGTGACATTCCATAGGGTCCAAATTATTTTGCAAAAAATGGAAATTTATATCTTGCAATCTGAAGTATTTGATTAAAATGCACTTAAGAATTTTAAGACCAAAAAAAAAAAAAGCATTCTCTTAGCTAGCAAATTTAAGTAATTGATCATTGGTTTCTGAATGTTACTCTTAAGATTACATAGCAGAAAATAGCTGGATGAAGTGTCAGTTGAACATTTTGACTTTGGTTCCAGTTAAAACACTTAAAGTCTGTATGACCGTAGGCACGTAATCTGATGTCTCAGAATTTGTAAATCTCATTTGTACTGCCTATATATGGTAATGGTACTAAAAATTATGCATAGTATGCAGAAGAGCTTTAAAGATATAAGTTGTTATGTTACCTTAAAATATCATTTATATGAATTGTAGTCTAGTCTGAAAACATCCTACATTAAGTCTTGATACCTAGGTTGATTTTTAACCAGCTTTATTAGACCCAGTTTTTTTTTAATGTTTCAAGTTTTTATTTAAATTCTAGTTAGTTAACATATAGTGTAACATTAGCTTCAAGAGTAGCATTTAGTGATTTATCACTTACATATACCCAGTGCTCATCACAAGTGTCCTCCTTAGTACCCATCCCTCATGCTAGACCTATTTTTTATAGCTTGGTGGTTATCATGGTTCAAAGCTGGTTATCACTGTTTGTCCTACTGTTAACTGGTTGTAAGTCTTTAAGCAAATTCATTAACTGCTCTCTAGGCTTCAGTTTTCTTATCCATAAAATGGAGGTGATAGTAGTACCTAACTCAAGGAGTTATTGTAAAGAATAGATGATGTAGTATACACATTGTTCTAAGCGCAGCATCTGGCTCAGAAGTACTTAGTAATGGGTGTATAAGCAAATACATGGCTGGGCAAGAGTGCCTGTAGTTGGATAATTAAGGATGTGGTGGAGCAGGTAGAGAGTTTGATTATATTTGGAATAATCTCTTTAATCTTAAGAATTAATGTCTGTGTTTTGCATACATTCTTTTGACAGGACTTTGGAAGAGAAACAGATACAGTGGTTGGAAGAAAAGCATAAATTTCAGGAACGTATCACTGACAGAGAAGAAAAGTATAATCAAGCTAAAGAAAAACTACAGCGAGCTGCAATTGCCCAGAAAAAGGCAAGTGGTTCTTATTAAAGCAATTTCTATAGAGTAAAACATAATTAACTATTCTGGGAGAATAAAATGTAATTAAAATTGAGATTTTAGTGTATGTTTAATTTGATATTTAAGCATGACATTTTGCTGTCAACCTTGCAGAGATAAATTGGGAAAATGCAAACTGCTCAACAGGTTTATTTCTAAATTTTGTGTTCAAGTCAGTTTTTCAGAGCCGACCTACATTTTCCCACAGTGTTTTTTCATTGATAAATTTTCTAGACCAGCCCTTATAAGTCTTAGTTATTAATTCATTCTGCACTTAAATTACAGGGTGATTAGATTTGTTTCAGCTGTGCTTAACAAATACTTGTAACGTCATTTTGTTGTTGTTGTTGTTAAAATGATTTTTTATTTCCAACTTAGAAATATAGGAGCGAATATCTCCTTGCCCTAGCAGAAGAAACTAGGCTTCCCCTGACTTTTGTAGTAGCCATGATCGTTACCACAGCTGTGATCTTATTTTTAATGTTTATTTATTTATTTTGAGAGGGAGAGAAATCATGGAGGAGGGGCAGAGAGAGTATCCGAAGATCTTACAAACTGTGAGTTCATGACCTGAGCTGAAATCAAGAGTCAGATGCTTAGCCCACTCAGCCACCCAGGTGTGATCTTTTTTAAGTTTCACCTTTGTAGGCATATTTTCTCCATATGTTTTCTTGGAAATAGTTCAGAACATCATGGATAGAATGTAATCAGATGATTCATCTAAGTCAGTGGTTTACAACTTCTTTTCTACTTCAACAAACCCAAGGAATGTAGCATGGCCCCATCAACAACGATGACTCATGGTAACAGTGAGTCAGTACTTGTTTTCAAAAAGATTTGGTGTGTGTGGTGGAGCTGGGGATGTGGGGTAGCATAAAAAAAATACCATAAATGATTTAATATGTCCCCATTTGATAAGTTCAGTTAGTAATGGCATTTGTTTTTGGGAGGTAAGAATGTCTGAGATGAGAGGATGTCACTTCTCATAGGTACACTGGTATCTCAATTAGTCTGTATGCTTATTGGAAAGGTTAGCTCTTTGTATTTGCATAAGAGAAGAGAACTGTATATCATTTACATATTCTGAATTTGGAAACCAAAGACACAGTTCCTAGACAGGGTATAACTGCCAAATGCATCCTGTTTGTTGGAGTGATGGTACAAGAAGTCTACAAGTCTACGTTGCTTCCCCACTTTCTTGATTTCTGAATATTGCTTTTCTCTTCTCATAATGCTGGAAGTAGTGTAATGTTGAGATTAAAAAATGGGAATTATTTCTTCCCATTTGTGTCACTTCTCTTTCTGTCCGTATTAGTGCTGAGCAGTGTATGGGTATTGCTGGAATTTCAGTGAAGTGTTTTATGGCTTGGGATGATCTTAGAAATTTCACCTATGGTTCCTTGTACTGTTTGAAGCCTAGAAGCATCTGAAGCCAGATTTTAGCCAAAAATTACCAGGAATTATAAGAACTGATTTTATCTTTCACAGAGAAGTGTTTATATTAAGGTTTTAGAAATCAATAGAAATCAGATTCTAATTATTATTGAGGTTAGCTTGGGTTGACTTCTTTTGGAGCAGAAGTGACATCCAGTGGTGAGAGAGATTACCATCTAATCATAGTTATACAAGTAAGAAGGGAAGAGGTTATAATTTAAGAAATCTGCAAAACAACCTTTCATCAGTATTGTGACCTGGGGTGAATTTTTTCCTACTGAATTATCTGCCAAATGATGGGTGTGAACATAGGGAATATCCATATCACTTTTGAAAATGTGACCTGTGGGTTATGATTTCAAGTCATAGGAAATTGTTAAGCTCTATTCAATGAATAATTATGACCCAGAGCTGTCTTCCCATGTGGGACACTTCCCTAGAGGCTTACAACTTTATATCAATTAAAGTAGATAAATAGACAATATATCTGGCTTAGAAATACTATAAAAAAATCTATGAGTATATAAAACTTTAGGCTGGCAGATTGTAGCATTCAGATAGTTTTCACAGATTAGGAAACTGAAGTAGTAGATAACCAAGATTACTTGACTAGTAAGATTCAGTGCCATGACTAAAATTTACATCTTTCTGCTCTTAATCCTTTGTTCTTTTGTGTTGTTACTCTTTTAATTTCCCAATTTCTTTGATTCCAAATACTTGACTGTTTTTCTCTTCATTGTACCCGTTTGAGTCTTACATCTTATGGCAGAATAATCACTATGAAGCTATTTTCTTTAAATTAAACTCTATTCATTCAAGTTAAAGATAATGCTTCTAAATGAAAATTTTGCCTATAAGATTATATAAATAAAATTCATAGTGCAATAGACTTGTTTGGTTCTTTAAATGACAAAAATCATAACTTTCTTATGTAATAAGACTTAAAACAAGTCACAAAATATTAACTCTATGGCAGAAATCATAATCCTCTTGAGTTGCTTTCTTGTGAGTGGTTCTTATAACTGGGGAGTGGTAGCTTTATTCTCCCCAAGACAGAAGAGTTGGCTCACTGCCATCTGAGTGTGTTTGTTTACAGCTCCAGCCTCCTACACACAAAGCTTATGTCATTTCTGCTAAGGCTTTTTAGATAGAATCTTTGTGTAATGATATTTTACTGTGTTGGTCTTTTTGGAAAAACTTGACCAAGTATCTTGAGTTGGGATGCCCTTCTGTGATTGTTGGCTTCTCTGTATATTTTTCTCTATATGTTATTGAAATGTGAGTATGAAGAGAGATCTCTTGGTTTGAGCACAGTGAGGTGTGCTTTTCTTTTTAAGGCATTTAAGATGACAACCTGTTATTTTTATTCTAAGGTATATCTGTCTGAAGTTATTCTTGGTTAAATTATGGTTATGAATGTTTTTTGGAAAAGACATGAACCATAGTCTTGAAGTTCTAAAGTGTCTGTTCAACATGTTGTGTGGCCTAGCATTATATTATACACTTAGGGGGAAAGGAGAAGCCATGATTAATTTCTGCCTTTGATGACCATATAATCTAGTTGGAGAAATAAGGTAACATACAATACCTAAAGAATACTAATAGTCACTCCCAGGTGATCTGTTTAGACACTAAAGTTTGAGAACAGTGTCAGAGCAAAGAAAGCCTGAAGACTGAGAGGCTAGTTAGGAAGCTCTTTTTTTTTTTAATTTAATTTTTTTAATAGTTTATTGTCAAGTCGGTTTCCATATAACACCCAGTGCTCAAGTTAGGAAGCTCTTTTAATAAAATGAGGTAAGAAGTGTGGAATTTGGGCTTGTGATAGAGGAATGAAGATGAAAGGTGACTCTTCAGAATTATTCTGAAGGAGAAGATTTACAGAATATGGTGCTAAAAAGAAAGAAAATATGATATGTTTTAGGTGTGAGAGGATATAAATGGAGTTGTCATAATGAAGAACACGTGTCAGTTGAGGAGTAGAAAGAGAAGATAGATTCACATGTCAGATCTGAAGTGATGACAGTGCATCGCTGGACTCATGTCCTAGACTTTTTAAGTGAAGGTGCTGTCAATAACTAGAAGTAATGGAATGTAAACGATTCTAAATTCTAAAGAATTAGTTGAGATTTTGGAGATGATTGAGGAAGAAAAGGACTGAGAATTAACTTGACTTAGAAAGGGGAACTGGATTTAGTAGAGGAATCATCGTAGAGGTGGAAGTGTGGTTTTGTAGAAGCCACAGGAAAAGAAAAGTATCAAAGATAAATAGCTGTTAAGTATGATTACTGAAGAGTTCATTGAATTTGGCTAGAAGGTGGTAAAAGGGGAATCCAAGGTTGGGTTCTTGTATTAGTGTTCTTTTGATTTTTCTATTGCTCCTTTGTGTTGGAATATTTTTAACACAAAGGCATCCACTTGGCAATCCTGTGATGGTATTGGACTGCTAAAGTCAAAATTGAAATCATTCCTTACAGCCAGTCTCCCCTCTGAACTCTTCACCTCTTTCAGTAGCATGTCATTCTTCCTATCATTAGGCTTCAGACCTTTGATTCATTCTGAGAGCTCCCTTCCCCCAGATGTAGTCAACCACTCTATTAGTTTCTGAGGGCTGCTGTAACAAATTACTGCAAACTACATGGCTTAAAACATCAGAGAGGTATTATCTCATAATCCTAGAGCTTAGAAGTCTAAAATCAAGATGCCCCTAGGACATCTTGCCCCTCTAAAGACTGGATCTGTTTTACCCTTCTCTCCTAGCTGCTGGTGATTGCTAGCAGTCCTTGGTATTCTTTGGGTTGTAGGCATATCACTTCATTCTGTGCCTGTCTTCATCTGGTGTTCTTCCTGTGTGTCTTGTCTCTGTGTCTACATTTCCCTCTTTTCATAGGGACACTAGTCATACTGGATTTAGGGGTTACTTAATCTAGTATAACGTCATCTTAACCTGATTATATCTGTAAAGACCCTTTTTCCAGGTAAGGTTACTCTGGAGTGTTTTACCAACAGCCAGTTTTCTAATTCCCTGGACACCAGCTAGGTGAGTGTCCAGCAGTGCAGTTTAATTCTGACACTACATCAGATTCCACAAGGTAAAGGGTTCAGTCTCACAAGACTGCTCTGATGTCAGATGCCCAGTCCCAGGCCACTTGTACTTTTGACCAGCTCACTATAAGTTGGGGTTTGATAATTTTCTAGAATAGCTGACTGAACCCAGGAAAACATTTTACTTACACTTACTAGTTTATTATAAAAGATACAACTCAAGAACAGCCAAATGGAAGAGGTGCATAGGGCAAGGTGTGGAAGGGGAAGCATGGAGTTTCCATGCCCTCTGAATGTGCCATCCAACTAGCTAATCAATATGTTCACTAACCTGGAAACTTTCTGGGGCTCCCTGTTGGAAAATTCTTATAGAGATGCAGCCCCAGTCACCCTTCCCTCTGAGAAGTGGGGAATAGGGGAATGCATCTGAAAGGTCCTACTCTTTTATCACTTGGTCATTCTCATGACAACCCCATTCTGAGTTTTTTAGAGGCCCC